CATCAAGGGTTAAGCCACTGCCTGTGGTGCCAGCATCCCCTAACAGTGCCAACTGGAGTCCTGGCTGCTCCATTTCCAATCCAACTCCCTGCTGATGTACCTGGGAGGGCAGCAGAGGATGGCTCAAGTCCTTGGGTCTCTGGACTCACATGGGAGACCTGAAAGAAGCTCCTGACTTTGCAAGGCCCAGCTGTGGCCTTTGCAGCCATTTGGGGAGTGAACCGGTGGATAGAAGACCTTTGTCTCTGTCTCTCTCATTCTCTGTAATGCTGCCTTTTAAATAAATAAAATAAATCTTTTTTTAAAATAATTCATGAGTTCTAGTCTAAATTGCTTAAAGAAAAAGATTATAGATTTGCTCATTTTTAAGAAAACTGTTACAGAACTGTTAACAGGTGACTTACAACCAAGTGCGGAGCACAGGGGAATTCCTGGTGCACAATCTCCTCTTTCAGTTTCTCTGACCTGTGAAGTCTAGTGGAAGACTGTTCCACTCAGTTTGGCACTGCCTAAAATAATACAAAATAGAAGCTCAGAACTGATCCATTGACCTCATTGTGATAATAGGAAAGGAAAATAGGTCATTGGGATGAACTTGGGAAGAATATAATCTACAAAAAAAAAAAAAAAAGAAATCCAATCTGCATTATATGCAAAAGAGATGGCAGTAGGAATGCATTCAGGGAGGAGATCCTAATTATTTGAGGTCAAAGTTGTTGGAGGAAGAGAGAAAGTTGTTAATCATTAAGGTTACTGATTATCTAAAAGCTATACATCCTATTCGCATCTCTTTAAACACAGATTTGGAGAAGGATTTTGAAATTTAGGTAATGTAGGCTGTTGGGTGTTGTGTGTTATGTTCTCCCTTAAAATACTTATAATTCAGTCCAAGAGTTTTGCTGATGGGTTGTGAGGCTAAGTGTTATGTAGTCTATATGTGAAGAAATAATAATATATATTCCTAATATTTGCATATATGGTGCTATAAATGAAGTTATGTCACTTGTTTCTAAGATTTTCAGATGCTTATAACAATAACATCCCTCCGTGATAATTACCATATTCTGGGTAAAAGTAGGCAGTTGCTAAATCATGACAGTTTTCTTTAGGTGTAGAAAATTTCAAGTTTGGATATTTAAACTAAAATGATATGATAGCCACAATATGTTTTTATTTTTGTTGTCATAGGTAAGCACAAAAGAATGGAAATTAATAAAGATACTTTACTTTGGAGCAGCTTTCAGTTATCATTTGATACGTTTTTGTCCATCAAAGGCTTTTACACACAAATTCTCCAGTTTTCAAACTTGAATTCTGTGAATGCCTGAGGTCTAGGTGGAAAAAGGGTTTGCGGATATGAAGAATTTTTTCTTAGATCAGCTTTGCTGATCCACCAAAATCACAGTGAACCCACAGTTGAGAAGGAGACTATTGTAGAGTTGAAGGAAGAATTTTGGGTGCACAGGAAGCGAGTTGGGAGGAGGGATGGCACCCAGGCACTGAAGGAGAAAGAGAAAATTGATGTTGGTGCTGTAATTGCACCAGTCAAGATGGTGGAAGCAATAATAAGAGAGGCAGCAATTGCTTAAGAATTATATGCGGTGGCTGGGCACTTGATGCAGTGATCATAGTGCTACTTGGGACAACCGTATCAGAAACTGGCCTATCAAGGCTCAAGTCTCAGCTCTGCTTCTGATCCAGCTCCCTGCTACATGTACCCTGGGAGGCAACATGTGACTGCTGAAGTGAATGGGTCCCTGCCACCCATATGGGAGACCCAGATTGAGTCTGGGCTCCTGACTTTGGCCTAGGGCAGACGCAGATATTATGAGCATTTTGGAGAATTAACCAGCTGATAGAAGATCTCTCTTGGTCTCTTTGCCTTTCAAATGAATAAATACTAGAATAAAAAGAATTATTATGTCCAGGTAGAATCTGAAAAGCTGGCAGCACATGTTGGCAGAGTTTTAGGAGAAAAGAAGGACATGAGAAATTTAAGGAGGAAAAGTGACAGTAGAGGAAAGAAAAGGGAGATTCTCTCGTAATGTCATCTTTGGTATATACTGCTCCGACCTTACACTGTATCCTAGGTCTCCATTATTATTTTCATTACTGGAAGCGACTGCTGATAACAGTGTCGTTGTGATGCAAACATTTAACAACCAAGTTTTAATGCAACGATTCTTCAATACCACTGCTGGATTCTTTGTGTAGAAACAAGGACTATTACAGAATTAAGACACTTAAATTGTTTGTAGACATTCTTCCCTTCAGGCCTCCATTACTCAAGAATTCTATTTCTGCGAAAAAAAGGATAGGAAATCATTTTTCTGGGGTAGGCATCTGTCTCACACTGGAGGACCTGGGTTCTATCCCTGCTTTTAACTCCTGACTCAAATACCATGCTAATACATACCCTAGGAGACAGCAGTGATAGCTCAGGTAAGTTGGGCTGCTGCCCTTAGATGCAAGACTTCGATTGAGTTCCCAGCTACCAGGACTCTGGGCATCTGGGGATTTAACTAGTGGATAGTAATTCCCTCTGTCTGTCTTGCTGTGTCTCAAAACAATTTAATAAAAAACACTTTTTAAATTTTAAATCTGGTTCTAACAGTGAGAAAAATCTGACTTTCTGTTTGAAAGGTGAATTTCTCTTTGACCACAGTCTAGTATATAGTGAGCTACCCATCAAAGGGGGATAATAGTCTTTCCCCTGTTTTCAAATAAATAATTTTAGGAAGAATCAATTAGCAAATATAAATCATTCATTCAACTATTTTCTATGAGTACCTAGGTAAACCATTGCCAATAAATATCAAAATTTGCAAGTTTCCTCCAAGTCTGATTGATTTTACACATCCTGTATTTTTGGAAATTAATAGCAACTTCCTTGGAATGGGAGGGGGCTTGCGCAGAAGGAGAAGCTGAGAAGACTCTACAAAGCAGTTTGTTTTTTTTTAACAATCCTGGACCCACACTTCCTTTTCTTGATATTTGCAAAATGGTTAGACCCAGTTCCCTTGAAAAATGTTGCACTGGTGTCCCAGGAATACAATATTTCATTAAAAGTTAAAGAAGGATACAAAAAAATGCTATTCTTATACTCTCTATAATTACCTATCACTGTTCAAGACAGACTTTGGCAAAGGTAATGACTTCAGTTTTCTTTTTACTTCTTTAAAGAAACTTCTTGTCAAAAATGAAATGGGAGAAAGAGATCTGATTGCAAAGGTTACTCATGCTTGTCTTGTTTGTGGAAAAACAGTGTTAATCTATTGGAGAGGCGAAATGCCTGTTAAGAGATGTATCCAAACACATCAGGCGATATTAAAGGAAAGTATCAGAATCAAATGTCCAAAGAAATTCACACAATAATTTTGGCTATTTCATCATCCATTTTTTTCTCCTGTAATATTTTACAGAATGCTTCTCTCCTTTTTCCTGTATACCTGCACCCACAGAGAATTTTTTAGGGCATCAAGCTTTTTGTCATGATCATGAGGCTTGTACATTTAGAAGGCAATTGCTACATCCTCTGAATTCAGATTTTTCCTTGTCATAACTCTGTGGTAGACATTATTTAGCGTTCATGTTCAGCAAACTGTGAACTTGATTTGTTTTCACATTAAACACAATACCTGGCACAAAGATCACAGTTATGAATCCTTTGGTAAATGGATAAAAATGTTATTTACCTGAATTCTGAAAATATTCACATGATATGAACAAATTTAAATGCATGTGCAAGGAAAGGATTTTTGCCCTTACAACTATAATTTTGTTGGCTTAATGATAAGTGTTTATTGATAATGCTGTCAATGACACAGTCTTCAGAATAAAGAATGAAGCACAGACTTCCTTACAAGAGAAAGATGGATAATAAGCTTCTGGGAATTACATATTGTAGAAAGATGGAATAAATGTTTATATGAATAGGAAAACTATTTCTCTTGTTTAGACAGGTTAAAATAAAATTTGCTTCATGGTGAAGACACAGTCATTGCTTGAAGCAGAATGCATAATACCCTTGTTTTATGGTTGTCAGGAAATAGTTCTGGTTTCTTCTCTTTTTTTTTCCATCTTTTTATCTCATTTGCATTTTTAAAATAATTCTTCATTTCTGGAGCTCAAATTGATTTATTTAAGTAGCTTACCAAATCCTCGACTATACTTGTATTGTTTGACATGCATTTTTTTTTAAATTTTTCATCTTAGCAGAAGTACACCATCGTGGTTCTTAACAGGATATTGGGTTAACTTAGCATTTCATGTTTACTTTTATATGAAAGAAGGTTAACCTTTTTTTGCTATTGCTCTGCTTAAAAAATTGCTGTGCTTAAAGTAAAAATCTTTCGTTTGTGACTTTCCAATTTTGTGTATATATACACTAAATAGATTTTGAGCAGGTAATGGGTATTGAACTGTGATTTGTGCATACTTCATACCCTGTTGATTTTAAGATAAATAAAGATTTCATTTCCTCATTTTATATGTAAGATAATTATCTGATTTCTAAAAATAAGCAAGAGAAAGAAAAAAAATATGCACAGCATTTTTTTATACTGGTGTTTTCATGTTAATAATGATAGCATTCCAAACAGTTCTTGTATAAGACCTTAGAGCAACTAGCCTGCAGAAACATACTGGGTATTGCTTATTGTTGTGGTGTAAAACAAGGCAAGGCCCAGGATGCCAAGGCCCATGCTTAGCATTTTTTTTCTTTTTAGTGCCCAGTAGGTTGGGCAAATTAAGTGCCTAGCAAATGTATGGTAAGAAGAAAGAATGTATCCTGGAATAAATACTTCTACAGGGAAATGCACTCTAGTTTGAAATTTTGACATTTCTTTTCCTTGATAGTTATATGTTTATATGAAGTTTCCTTAGGAATAAGAAAATACTAGTTACCCTTTTTGAATGTCTACACTAGGCAGTGTGCTAAGTGTCATGTATAATTTCCTTAATCTTTTAATTATATGAGGCCAATTTTATTCCATTTTCAGGACAAAAGAAAAAAAAAGAGACTATGTCAAGTCAGAAGTATTTTCTCCATTTGAGATGGTAAAGTATTGCTCTGTTTGAAGTTAGTTGAAAGACATTGTTTATGCTTTCTAGTTCTGTAAAACCACTTTGCAGCTAATCTGTGCCTGATCATGCCATGTTGTCTTAGGAAACTGACTTATTAACTGATGTTTTTAAAATAAGTGGAATATAAAATGAAATAAAAATGCATATATTAGGAATTAAGCAAAGGTACAATAACATCATTTTTTCTCTTATCATTTTAAAATACCAAATGAAAAAATGTAAGGTGTGATACACCAAAAGCCAAGAAAACCACTTTACTCATATTATCTATTAATGCAATTTCAAGGCAACTGGCACCAGGGTGTCTGCTTTCCCAAAGAGCAATATTACTATTTAATCTGTTATTATAAATTTAAGAGTAAACATTAATAGTTTATGCTATTTGATTAAAATGGAAATTGCCCCCAAATCTTCAGAGATTGTCACCCATTCCTTGTTTATAGATGCATGAAACTAGAACATTTTCCTTTGAATATAAAAACAGTCTTTTCTTAGAAATCACATCACTGACTCATAGAAAGCTTTGTCAAAGCTATCAGGAGGAGTAGCTTGAAAAGAGGCACCAAAAGATATCTTCATATCAATTAGTAGTGTCATTAAACTACCTGTTTAATAAAAAGTGAGGGTGATTAGAGCAGGAAAAGGCAGGCAGATAGGGAAGAGGATAATCCCATTGATTTGAAACTTTAGCTGCACTATTCTCTTGATCTACCCATTGGTTATTTTTAAATATAATCCATGCCTTACAGAAACAAGAATGAAAAAAAAAATCAAGTAGTAAAAAGATATCATTATTTGCTATTTTGGTGATAAAATAACCATTTTTAAGTACCAGAATATCACTCAAATCCGCTTACTCCCAGCCTGCAGAAACACATTTCTCCACAACCAAGCCTTCTACAGAAACATGGGACCTACCGCCGGCCTCTCAAGGGCCTGCTGCTCCATCATGTTTACCAGGGCTTCTATTTCCAACTAGTATTAGACCCAGAGAGCATTTTTATACATCAGTTACAGAAGGATTGTGGCAACTGTCTCAGTGATAGAAACCTAGAGTCATTTTAAAAGAAGTGTATAAATAAATCTAAAATAATAAAAGAATATTAGGGAAATTCTAGTTTAATAACTTACAGAAATGTACTATCCACTGTGCTTTGTATATAAAGGAAGAAGTATTTCCTCTCAACAGAAAGACCTATTTTCAGTGAGATTTCTACCTTTCACTTAGGTTTAATATTTTCAAAGCAGTGTGTTTGGTTTCTTCTCCACATAAACAACAATAGTTCTTCCTATCTATAAAAAAGAAGGAAGGTGGAGAAAGGGAAGTAGAGAAGCAGACAGACTGGTAGGCAGCCAGAGGAGTCCTTTTCCCTCTGTAGCAGCTCTCTTCTTGATAGCAGCTCTGAAGGTCTATGAGAATTGCCTTCACGTTTCATTATTTCTCTCTTTCTTAATGCCCTACATTTGTATTTCTTCTACATATTGTTGACTTGTAATTTCTAGTGAGTCGCATAGTAACTATACAGAGTGGTATTTTAATTCTATAGCCTAAAAAATAGGTCCAGGGAGGTTAAATATCTTCTTCAAGATCACCCAGCTAGTAAATAGCAGGCTGAGTTTAAAACTGAGATGGTTGAACACGAAAATATGTTTCAGACTCTCCATATTTCTGTGTCTTGCTTCGTCTTCACTCATTGATCTGATTTTGAAACCTACCATGACCTGTTGTCTACTCCAGATAAGAGTTTTGAAAGCTGCCACTTACTGAATGCAGGTCTCATTACACTCTATGTGTTTTATACACATAGAGTCTTTCCAACACTGAGTCAAGTTAGGGCCAATCTGAAACCCATAGGTGTTCAGACAGGCAAATATGCCCCCCAACCATATTTTTCAAATATTTGTTCAAATGTGATGATGATCCCAGAATAGGGAATAGAAATGTAAATGGAATACTAATAATGTGGCACAGCTCCCTTTGAAAATAACATGTCTGCACTTTCTTTAAAAAAAAAAAAAAAATTGAAGGAACGCCTTTTCAATGTGGAGTGGCCCTGGTCAAGATTGGGTGGAATTTGCCATGTTCACCATATCTTTTTTAGCTCACTAGATTAAAATGTTTCTTCTAACTGTTAATCACCCTTAAAGAGGTTTTTAGCACTGTACCTGTGTTTATCTAATTTGGAGTATGCCCTCTGACCCCTTGATTATTGATACCTGGATATGGGACCCAACTGCCTGACCTTTGAACTCTCACTGATAACAATTTTGTTAATTTCATTTAGAGGCATCATGCCAGTATTTAAGCCCAGATGTAAGTCTAAACTCCATGCCCTTTTCAAAGTAATATGCCATTGCCACACCTAATGTAATCTTTTCCACCTTCCTAAGAGTTCTTACTCCAGCATTTGACATGCCTGGAAGGCACCTTTTGTTATTGCTTGGGCTGCTCAGCTACCATGGTCTACTCTGGCACTCTTGATCGTCTTTCCAACTTTGGCATTTGTGATACAATCCTGAGCTATTTTATTTGATTTTCTAACACAAGTCCTCTTTGGTCTTAAAATTGTTGGTATCATATTTTAAGACAGATGTTATTTGAGGGATTAAATTTGAGGCTAAAGGTTAATTATACTCCTTATACTGTTTTTGCATTTTTCCTGCAAAATCTTTTCACTGCCTCAGTTTCCCTCCATGCAGTGGTCTCCACATTAAAAAATAATGATGTATACATTTATTTGAAAGAGTGACAGAAAGAAAGAGGGAGAGACAAAGAGATATTTTCCAGGCCAGCACCACGGTTCACTAGGCTAATCTTCCGCCTGCGGCGCCGGCACCCCCAGGTTCTAGTCCCGGTCGGGATGCTGGATTCTGTCCCGTTCGCTCCTCTTCCTGTTCAGCTCTCTGCTATGGCCTGGGAATGCAGTGGAGGATGGCCCAAGTCCTTGGACCCTGTACCCACATGGGAGACCAGGAGAAGCACCTGGCTCCTGGCTTTGGATCAGTGTGGTGTGCTGGCCGCAGCGTGCCGGCCACAGCGGCCATTGAAGGGTGAACCAACGGCAAAGGAAGACCTTTCTCTCTGTCTCTCTCTCTCTCACTGTCCACTCTGCCTGTCAAAAGAAAAAAAAAAAAAAAGAGAGAGAGAGATTTTCTATCTGCTGTTTCACTTTCCAAATGGCTGCAACATGCAGTGCTGGACCAGGCTACAGCTAGGAGCCAGGAACTTCATATGTGTCACCAAGATGAGTGGCAGGATTCCAAGCACTTGGGTCATCATCTGGGTACATTAACGAGAAGCTGAATTGGAAGTGGAGCAGCCAGACTTGAGCTAGTACTCTATAATGAGATGTGATGTCACAAGAAACAGCTTAAACTACTGTGCCACAGGGCCGTCCCCTCTAGATTTTTATTTCTGTCACTAAACTTTCTTCAAATTTCCGATCATGCACTTCGGGCTGCTGGTGGGTATTCCACGTAACCACCCTACTAAGGTGTCATCCTTTACTTGATAGCAGACATACCCTCTCAGCAGAAGCCACGTTCCTCTCCATTACCATTTTACCATTCCCAGTATAAACCACATTTTAGTGATTGCTGCTTCCCATGGTTTTCTTTTACTCATGGGTGTGTTGTCTGTCATCTGTGCTTCCATAAAACTGATTTCTCACCTCTAAATACCAAGACTCCCAGGGGAGGTTCTAATGGATCTCTCCATATCCAGCCCCTCCCTCTACCAACACATTTCCTGTGTTCCCTTATGAACAGTATTTTGAAAGTCAAATTTGCATCTATCACCCCTCCATTTACAAAAACCCTAGTATATTCCTCTTTAGTAGACTATGGTCTTTTTTCCTTGACAATTCATAAACAGCCCTAAAGTTACTACTGCTTCAGCTTTTCTTACATTTTGTTCTTCAAAGAACATTTCGCTCTACTTGAATTGTTAATTTGCCAAGAGACTAGCTCTTAGCATCTCTCAATGGCCTGGGACACAACTCTTTAGCTGCCTAATGTTAGCCATTTTCAAGACAAAATTCCAACAGTACTTCTTCCTGAAACCTTTTCAGATACTACCATCAGGAAAGAATCTTACTGCTTTTCCAGATTATCCCAACTGTTGCCATATCCTTATGTAGTCAGTGAATTTAGCCACAACTCAGTCATTTCCAGCTGCCTTTTAGGTCAATACCCATCACAGCAGCAGGCGGAATTGATCAGGTAGGTATCTCCATCTATCATTAAGACAGCCAAAATGACTCGATCATTCATGACAAGTCATGATCCCGTCACTTTGATAGTGAAGACAGACCCTGTCACAATGTTGTCCTCTTCTAGTATTTGCGCTGAGTTTAGTTTTTAAGTAAGGAAGAAAAAAAAAAAAAGCGAATTGTAGCTATCACTGTTCTGCTTGATATGTAATGTTTTAAACTGTGTCACATACATTTTTGGGCATAATTACAAGTCACTAAATTTTATTGGCATAAAGAGATAACTTCACAGTTTAAAAAGACAGATTTATTTTTGGTTGCTGAATCAAATGCAATTAAAGTTCCAGGATGTTTACATTTTATTAGTAACAAATTGATAGCACATGGATTTCTGTTTCTTCCAAAGTCAGCAACCCTGCTTTCACTCTGTTTTGCTCTATTATCAGAGGGGTTTTTTGATACACATATAAGCAGACGTTTTCTTATGGTGTAGCAGAACTGAGATGCTCAAATGTTTTAACAAATCAGGTTTTCCAGTTAATTTGGGTTTATTCAAATCCAAGATATTGAATGTCTTTGATTACTCAGGAGTATTTCTAGATATGAGACATCCTAAGATTGTATTTCAGCATATTCATCTGCGTATTACAAAGTTTTCGTAAATTTTAACTTCTGAGTTTCAGAAAACTGCTAATCTCAATTTAAGCCAGCAAACTTCTAAATTATGAATTTTGTTATGAAAATATTTAAAGTAAGAATATA